CGAGCAGAAACAAATGCTGCATTTGGACATGTACAGTATTTTCTGCATGAAAGAAAAATTCTTGTTGGCAGAGCTACGCCCTTAGAATTGCAGATTTTTTACACATAAACGCATATTAATGTGTATACTTTAGGTGCATATTTTAGATAGGAGCTTTCTTTCATGCAGAAAATATGCATCTAAACACAACAATTTTTCTGACTGTGTGAAGGAGCTCTAAATCTAATAAAATCATTGTTGACGCATGATAAATATGAGTGTTCTTCAATTCAACAACAAATGGAAGCTAATACAATGAGACTGATTTTCTAAAGCCTGGTTCACACTGATGCGGTGGGGGGAACCGCATGTGATTCGCACAGGAATCGCACCGCATTCCTATTCAAATCACGCGCGATTCTGTGCAGTGCGATTTGAGCCCATTCATTCTGCATAGCGCAAATTACACCACATCGACATGAAAAAGGTGCAGGCACCTTTGTTTTTTGCCGCACTGCAATCGGATCGCATCGGTGTTCTCACCTATGTGATCCGATTTAGGCAATCGCATTCAGTTTTGCGACCTGTTTTTGGGGTGTAGTTAACTTAAAGTGGAACTGCACTGCATCTGAGCACCACAAACTTAAAATTTTATTTCATTCACTGTTAATATTCAAAGCAAACTCCCCCCATCCATCCATGACTCCATGCTTTATTTTGCTGAGAAACCATTCTGAAAAACAACCCCTGGCATTTCTGGAAGTAGCCATATTGAGTGAGGGCAGCTGAATTATGTAGCATTTACTTCCTGGAATCCATCTGCCCTTAGTTCAGGCCCTCCCTTCCTGAGGACTCCTGGGATGTATGACATCATTTGCCTAGGCACTGAAACCAGGAAATAACTGAAGAAATGTAATAAACAAAGTTTAAAACAAGTAAATATGATGTAATTTCCTATCTATTTATAAATGCTAGCAGCACAAAGATTAAAAATAGTCCATACTGATTGAGAGAGTGACGTTTCACTTTAACACTGACATCCGCAGCAGATCGCACGAACACAATGCAACTGTGATGTGGTATGAGAATTGCACAGGAATTACTGCAAATCTTGTACCACATCAGTATGAACCGAGACTAAGCCCCCGGACACATGAAAGCCAATTTTGAAATCGTGCGACTTAGTGAAGTCGCACAATTTCAAAATCGGGTGACCTGCCCATTTCAATTGCGATTTGCAAGACATCTGACACAGATGTCTATGCAAATCGCAACAAAAGTAGTGCATGTACTACTTTAGAAATCGACCAAGTTGGAACCGCACCGATATGACCGCTGTAATAGCGGACAATAGGGTGCGACTTGGCATACGATTTCCAAGTCACCCAGTCACATGGCATGCAAATCGCCCGATGTAACCGGGGTGTATAAGGGTTTAGAATGTGCGTGAATACTCACTTCTGCTATCCAATCATGTGCCAATGAAACTAGCAAAATAGGAATTTGCTTTTCACATGGATGGTCAATGGAATTGAATAGTCACATAGTTATTACGTGAAGATTTTCAACTCCTTTAGTAAATGAGCCCCAATAGGGGGGGGAATTAGCCTCTTCTTGCCAGCATACCACATATACAAATGAAGGTAGCAGGTTAACCTATATACCAGCTGTACACATAAATGCGTCAGCTGTCTGCAGTGTGCTGTGCAGCACAGTGACCGAGCTGTCATTCATGATTCAGAGCCAGTGGCAGAGATCCCAATCCTGTGACTGCTGCAACAGCCTATCATGTCTGTCACATGTATAGAAACTCCACCTCCCTTTTTCCTGAAGGGCCAGCAGGAGCAGGCAGCAAGGGGTTAATATAAATTGGCGCAAAGGAAAAAAATGCACCTATTTATCATTTTATGTGCCAAATGAATAAAAGTGTTGCTGAACTTCTCATTAATGTGTTGCATCATATTGGTGTGCTGTCCGTCCATACCCATCCACCTCTTCTCTCCCTCCTACAGTGCTGCTCCTCGCTGTCCACCCCTCCTCACTACCCCTTTTACATCACTGTGGTGATGGTGTATATTATAGAACAATTACTAACCAAGCACATTGGCTTGGCACACACTATTCAACATTTATAGAAACTGTTGTATATAACTTTTTGGCTTCTTCCACATAGGTGAAAGGTTCTGAAAAGTGATCTGTGGTGAATTGCTTTTCAGATTGCAGTTTGTAGGTGGATGGGAGTTGTTAACTTCCACCTTCTCAATGGCTGTTTTTTTTTGGTTTTTTTTTATTTATCCCAAGCTGTGTTTGGCACTTGATTGTGGCATAACTAGAGTGTTTTAGGAGAGGTCTGCCAAACTTGGCATGCTGAGCTACAACTAAAACGTCAAACCAGAAAAGTGTTCAGAAGTCACTAGTTTCAACTGCTCCATTCAACAGTAAGGTAAACAACTGATGTGTCTGTTGCTACCTCCCTAGCTGTCATTCTCTCTAGTGAGAATGATGTCTCCTATGTTCTGAAGCCTTTAGGCTCCATTCACACTGAGCTGAGCGTTTTTCAGGCTTTTTCTCAAGCGTCTTTGAGCGTTTTTTTAGAAGATTTGCAAATATAGGTATTTTTTCAGGCATTTTTCATTTAGGCGTTTTTGTTGTGGCCAATAGAAAGAGCTGCTTTTTGAGCTGCAAACACCTGAAAAAGAACTTGAAATAATGCTCATTCCCACTGTTCAGGCGTGTTCCATTCAAGTCTATGGGGACAAAATGCTCAGATCTGCCTGCAAATTAGGGCAAGTACTTATTTGAGCGACAGGCGTTTTGCTACAGGCAGACAGAACATTCAAGTGTGAACAGGGGCCATTGGAAATAAAGTTGAAACACTTGTTGAGTGCTTTTGAGCGTTGAGCTTCGCGCTGAAACACGTTCAAGTGTGAACTGGGTCTAAGGGATCCCAGGATGTTTTGCGGCTGGAGGAGGGTTGACCTAGTGTTGCATCTTCAGGGGGTTGGGCTGCCTGAACCAGGAAGAGGCATCTGGCTCCTGATAATGCCAGGAAAAAAGATGGCAGCACAGACAAGATGTCTGGCAGGAACATAGGGGATCACAGTGGGACAATGCTGGGTTTGCTGGCTGGGTGAGTTTGTGAATTGTGCATAACATCAGTGGACAATAGGTAAAGCGGAAAAAAAAAACATGAGAGGGATCGAAGTTCCTCTTTAAAGTAATTTGGTGCTGTTAGTGCAACGACACGCAGACCATGTGCAATGGCATAAACCCCCCCTGAGATGTCTGCACACATTTCAAAACCTTTCTGAATACTCCCTCCTCATTTAAATGGTTTAAAGTGACACTAAGGGGGCTATTTACTAAAGCTGCAGAGTGCAAAATCAGGTGCACTTCTGCATAAAAACCAATCAGCTTCCAGGTTTTATTGCCAAAAGTTTAAGACCCCAGTCACCCCAGTCACACCAAATTCCATTCTTTTTTGCTGCTGTGATCTGACTTCCGATTAGGCCCCATTCACATCTGAGCGTTTTTGGCATTTTGTCGCAATGTTTTTGTTAAAATAATAATAATAACATGAATAAATATATGTAAAATAAATACACAAGTAACAAAACAAAATCATAAATACTAGGTATTAATAAATAAATAATAATTAACCCCCTAACCCTTCAAAAATATAATAAACAAATTATTATTATAATAATAATAAACACCTAAACATCTAAACCCGAAAAAATTACAGTATTATTATTAATAATAATAATTATTATTATTATTATTATTATTATTATTATTAATGAATACATAAATGTAAAATACACAAATAAATAAAAAAAATCATAAATACTTGTAATAGTAAATGATATTAATAATAATTAACCCATAACCCAAAAAAGTATTAAAATAATAATAATATATTTTTTATTATTATTATTATTATTATTATTATTAATAATAATAATAATGTATTTTTTTTGCTGGTGTTTATTATTATTACTGTTGTTGTTATTATAACTATTAATATTATTAATAATTTATTTCATTTTTTTTAAGGTTGGGGTCAATTATTTGTTTATTTATTTATTTACCATTTATTTATCATGATTTTTTATTTATATGTGTATTTATTTTACATGTATTTATTCATATACTATGACTATTTTTTACTTTACATTTTTTTCATTTGAGAAGAAAATCGCACAAACGTGTGCAGAAACGCGCACAAATGAGCCAATCGCGCATTTCTATGGGGATAAAAAGATGCCAAAAACATACACAGCTGCCCAAATGGAGCTCCAAAAGTAGCTCCAAAACTTTTTTGAATTTCAGACGTTCTACTTCAGGCGAATTGGAGTGGAGATATGAACCATCTCCATGGAGTAATATTGATTTTTTTTTCCCCCTGAGCGTTTTGGAGCTTCGAGCTTCGCGTTACAAAACGCTCAGGTGTGAATGTAGCCTTAGAGGCTACATTCATTCTCCATGGTCCCACTCTAAGTGGGAACGTAGACACTCTTGCTCACTCATTGAGATGCCTTATGAGCTCTGGGCTTTGTAGAGTGCATAGAGCAGTGCACATGACTACAACTAATATGCACTGCTTGTTTCAAGCAAATGGAAGTGATTAGGAAAAGGAATGGCCCAGGAGCATACAAATAACATTACAAGGAGGAAGAAAACCAGTGAAAAACAATTTTGTGAAAAATAGATTATAGTAGTGGTGCACCGAAATGAAAATTCTGGTGTCAAAACCAAAAACGAAAATTCAGGATGCACTTGGCCGAAAACCGAAACTAAAATGGACAGTTTTCAAAATGGAAGATGTCGGCTCGGTCATGTGATCAGCTGTGTCCAATCACAGCTGATCACATGTAAACAGGGAAATGCCAGTTATCGGCATTTCTCTCCTCCCGAGCTGTCACGCTGACAGCTCAAGAAGAGAGGAGTGCCGGTAATCGGCATTCCTCGGAGGGGACATGTACACTGATCATCAGGGCACTGATGATCAGTGTGTCCTGATGGTCAGTGTGGCCCCAGAAGTGCCACCTGTCAGTGTCCATCAGTGTCAGCTGTCAGTGCTGAACAGTGCCACGTGCCAGTGCCCATGAGTGCCACATCAATGCCACATATCAGTGCCTGCCAGTGCACATCAATGCCACAAATCAGTGCCCATCTGAGCTGCCTTTCAGTGTCACCCATCAGTTCCAGCCAGTGCCACCTATCAATGCCATCAGTGCTGCCAATCAGTGCCACCTATCAGTGCCAGTCAGTGCCGCCTATCAGTGTGCATCAGTGCCACCTATTAGTGCCCGTCAGTGCCGTCTATCAGTGCATGTCAGTGCCGCCTATCAGTGCCAGTCAGTGCCACCTAACAGTGCCAGTCAGTGCCGCCTATCAGTGCCATATATCAGTGCTGCCTTTCGGTGCCCATCAGTAATGCCTGTCAATGCCCATCAGTGCCACCTACCAGTGCCTCCTCATCAGTGCCCATCAGTGTCCATCAGTGCAGCCTATCAGTGCCCATCACTACAGCCTCATTAGCGCACATCAGTGAAGGAGAAAAATCACTTATTTACAAAATTATATAACAAAAACTAAGAAAAAACTTTTTTTTTCAAAATTTTCAGTGGTTTTTGGTTTGTTTAAGAAAACATAAAAAACCCAGAGGTGATTAAATACCACCAAAATAAAGCTCTATCTGTCACAAAAAATGATAAAAATGTCATATGGGTGCAGTGTTGCATGACCGCGCAATTGTCATTTAAAGTGTGACAGCGCTGAAAGCTGGAAATTGGCCTGGGCAGGAAGGGGGTATAAGTGCCCTGTAGGCTAGCAGTTAAAAAAAAAAAAAAAAAAGAGGAAAGCCACAGGAACTGGAAGTGACATAATGATGTTGCTTTGAGATGGCATAGAGATGAGTGGAGGCCATCTTTCCTTCACTGATCTCTGCCCAGTGCCAGGATCGTTGGATGGGCTCTCAGGCATTTAACGGGGTTATTTTCGGGACCTGTATCGGTGCTTATTTTCTTACTGCCAAAGGCCGATAGGGGTATTTTTGGCCAAAACGTTTTGGCCACCAAAATTTCCTAGATTATAGAGCCATTAATTCCTTCCTGTGGTGTCCTTGTAAGTGGGTCTTTAAGGTGTGCGTTGGGACGCAGTTCACAATCAAGTGATCATTGTGATTGGCTGTCACAGTGGTCACATGATAAGGAGCCCATACTGCCATCTCCTGATCATCACTTAAGACTGAGAGCTGTCTGTGGACACATTTGTGTGTCATGTGGGCTTTAAAGCCCACTCTCTTTACTGCTGTACATTAAGCAGCAGGAGGTTGAAGGGGTTCTAAAGTCAAAATGTTTGTTTTTTCTTAACATTAATGTATTCTCTGCAAACTCCCCACTACTGAACCTACCCACCCCCATGTCTCTTCTCACTGATCAAGCACTGTCCCAGCTGCTGCAGCACTCTCCTCTCTTCCCAATCTCACAGGTGACACTGAGGGCAATGGAGCCATAGGCTCCTGCTGCTGTCAGACAGACTCCTGTGTGGAGGAATCGTGGGTGTGGATTACCACCATTTATTTCAGGTACTTATATAGCTCCATCAATTTACGCAGCACTTAACATATATATATTGAACATTCATATCAGTCCCTAACCCTCAAGGGTTGTACATTCTAAGGTCCCTAACTCACATTCATACATACACATACTAGGGACAAGTTAGACAGGAGCCAATTAACCTACCAGCATGTCTTTGGAGTGTGGGAGGAAACCGGAGTACCCAGAGGAAACCCACGCAAGCACAGGGAGAACATGCAAACTCCATGCAGGAGGCACCATGGTCGGGAATCAAACCCATGACCCATTTACTGCAAGGCAGACGTGCTAACCAGTAAGCCACTGTGCCACCGCTGTGCATATGGATGCCTCAGAGCCACCCAGAGGAAGAAGGAGCAGACAGAGCTGGCAAAGGCACCCCCGAAGAGGGGGTAAGGGACCGTTCTGTGCAATATCGCTGCACAGAGCAGGTAAGTATAACATCTTTTTTTTATGTTCATAAAAAAAGAACATTTAAAATTATATTAAAGGTTCTTTTATTAAAAAAAAAATAACAAACATGTTATACTTACCTGCTCTGTGTAATGGTTTTGCACAGAGCAGCCCCGATCCTCCTCTTCCAGGGTCCCCCTGCCAGCGCTCCTGGCCCCTCTCTCCTGTCTAGTGCCCCCTTAGCTCTCGAGCAAATGCTCTGTGTCTCAATGGCTATGATTGACAGTAGAGGGAGCCAATGTCTACCACTGCTGTCTTAACCAATGAGGAGAATAGACCCAGGAGAACCAAGGTTCTTGTACATCGCTGAATCAGGAGGGGGCTCATGTAAGTTTTAGTGGGGCTGCTGCACAAAAGAAAGTGATTGCACGACGGTAAAAAACGTTGAGCCTTTACAACCACTTTAACCAGCTGCTGACTGCACTATAGTCATAGGGTGTCTATAAATGTCCTCCCAGAACCCCGCCCCCTGCACGCCCACAGGAAGCACATTGGGCGCACTCTGATCACTGTATCCTTTGGACACAGCTGATCACAGATCAAGGTAAAAGGCCAATCACATGTAAACAAATGTCGGTTATTGGCATTACCTTTCCTCAGTTTTGTTAGTGCATGAGGAAAGGAGAGCCGAAACCTGGCATCCTGTGATAGCACATATTGAATATTAGTGCAGCACCATCAGTGCCCAACAGTACAGCATATCAGTGTCCATCGGTGCCTCCACATCAGTGCCCATCAGTGCTGTCTCATCAATGCCCATCACTGCAGCCTCATCAGTGACCATCAGTGCAGCCTCATCAGTGACCATCAATGCAGCCTCATCAGGGCCCATCAGTGCTGCTTCATCAATGCCCATCAGTGCAGCCTCATCAGTACCCATCAATGCAGCCTCATCAGTGCCGCCTCACCAGTACCCATTACTGCAGCCTTATCAGTGCCTCCTCATCAGTGCAGCCTGATCAGTGCCCATCAGTGCTGTCTCATCCATGCCCATCAGTGCAGCCTCATCAGTGCCCATCAGTGCTGCCTCATCAGTGCCCATCAGTGCAGCTTCATCAGTGCCCATCCCCCGCAGCCTCATCAGTGACGCCTCATCAGTGCCCATCACTGCAACCTCATCAGTGCCTCCTCATCAGAGCCCATGAATGTGCCTCATCAATGCCCATCAGTGCAGCCTCATCAGTGTCCATCAGTGCAGCCTCATCAGTGCTGCCTCATCAATGCCCATCAGTGCAGCCTCATCAGTGTCCATCAGTGCAGCCTCATCAGTGCTGCCTCATCAATGCCCATCAGTGCAGCCTCATCAGTGCCCATCAGTGCCGCCTCATCAGTGCCCATCACTACAGCCTCATCAGTGCCCACCAGTGCAGCCTCATCAGTGTCCATCAGTGTTTAGCAAAATATTAAAAAACCCAGTGGTGATTAAATACCACCAAAAGAAAGCTCTATTTGTGTGAAAAAAAAATGATAAAAAGTTAATATGGGTACAGTGTTGCATGACTGTGCAATTGTCATTCAAAGTGCAACAGCGCTGAAAGCTAAAAATCAGGGGGAGTAAACCCAGAACTAAAAATGTAACATATTGCAGTTTGCCAATCATTAAGGCTGGTGGCTGCATTTGTTTTCTTTTTTAGGCTTTTCCCCTCTGTTTTCACCTTGTGATCTGTCCACTAACACACCTCCTGTATTAGAGCTTCCCCACTCTGGATGAAGAAGCATAGGGGACACCTTTGGACAGCAGTATTATTAATCTGAGGGGAGGAGAGTGTTAGATGTACTAGCAGATTTGAATACACTAAGATATTGAGTCCAAACACCAGCTAACATTTTATAACCAGTTACAGCAGTTTTTTTGGGGGGATAAGGTTTTACATAAAATGCTGATTATTGTAAGAACTCCTGCAAGTGCTAAAAAGTTTATCTCAACACTCTAACTGCCACATCTGCAGGACAACTTGTTCTGTTAAAAAAAAATGGGCTTACTGGCTGGATCACCAGATGAAAATAAAAAACAGCCTAAAAAAGAAAAAGAATCACAGCTAAGAAGTAGTAAGCTGCAATATCATACATGCTTGCTTTTGGGTTTCCTAGCACTGTAAGCAGTGGATGTGCGTGGATTATTTTTTGGGGGGGAATAAAGATTTTGTGTGACTTTCAATAGCTCTTTTCTCACACTAGTGGATATGGAGCATGAGAAGAATGATCGGTCTGCCATAGAGGAGGTGTCCCTTTAATCAGGCTGCTTGCTATATAATATGAGAGGTATCCTCCAGCCAGCCAGGAGGGAGATCCCAGCCATGGAGGAGGACAGCCAGCCTGGCAGCCTGGAGAGTGCTCTTTGTTAGAGGAGACATGGCCAGGCAGGCATGAGGAAGGCCAGCAGCAAGTAGTAGACTTGTGAAGTTGGCTGGATCCTACTCATAGACACAATGAAGGCAGGCAGCACACACACACACACATACACAGAGAGCAGTCAGGGCTCCAGACATCCTCCAGCCCCGTGGTGCTGAAACTGAGGCTCATGCTCTAATGCCGATGACGTCACAGAGACTAGCCCCCAGAGCTAGCACTCCTCTCCACTCTCCCGTTATGTCCCCAGCAACTCCTCTCCCACACGCTGCTCCATTCATACAGGCGAAGCTTAAAATAGGTCATGTAATAAGAGAGGAGCCTGCCATCAATCCATCCCCAGACCCCCCTCCCCTTCTATATGACCTTTCCTCCTGTACAACCACCTACCGACCCCCCCCCCGTCTACCTACCTGCAGAAGGCTCTCCATAGGAATGCCTGGATGACGTGCTGAGTCTGAAGTGTCTAATAAGTTGTGCAGATATGGAGGACAATCAGTGTGTGCGAATGATATCAGTCTCCTGTACTGGGGGGGGTAGGTGTCCCCCATCCACCTCTCAGCTGTGTATGTCTATGGGGAGGGAGGAGGAGGGGTGTAATAACCTAGACAGGGTCCCCTCTGCCCGCAGCTCCGCCCAGTCGGTGCTCTTATATTGGCCAGTGAGGGGATACATATACAGACAGGGAGAGGAGGGAGGGGAGACAGAGGCTGCTATCTGCTCCCGGAAATTGAAGCCTGCCTCATAAATATACCACAGGAAGTATGTAATAACAAATACACTCCGCCATCCACACCTCCCATTCACTAAAGTGCCGTGGCCCCGCCCCCGGAGACGCTCCGACTCGAACTCTGAAGTTCGATCCAGCCGGAGAAGGAGGAGGAGGAGGCGCGCTCCCGCCTGGTGCTCCCATTGTTGTCGGAATATTCCAGCCGGGCTCGGGGGCGCGCCTCTCTCACACATCCAGCCGTCTGAGCAGCTGGCTGCTGCGGGATATGGCTTGTAGAGCACGGC